CCCCCACTCCCCCACTTTCTTGAGGGCAGTTAGAAATGGGCAATAAATACTCACCCAGCCAGTGATGCACATGTCCTGTAAATTAATTTTTTTTTAAAAAAATGGAAATAAAGGTGAGGAGTTTTTGTTTGACTTATACACTTAATGGTAAGGTCCTTAGGAGTGTTGCCGAACAAGGAGACCTTGGGGTGCAGGTTCATAGTTCCTTGAAAGTGGATTCGCAGGTAGACAGTGTAATGAAGAAGGTATTTGGTACGCTTGCCTTTATTGGTCAGTATGTTGATTCTAGGAGCTGGGGGGGGTCGTGGTGCGGCTGTACAACTGCATTGTTAGGCCACTTTTGGAATACTGTGTTCAGTTCTAGTCTCCCTGCTATAGGAAAGATGCTGCGAAACTTGAAAGCATGCAGAAAAGATTTACAAGGATGTTGCGAGGATCGGACAGTTTGAGCTATAATGAGAGGCTGAATAGGCTGGGGCTATTTTCCCTGGAGCATTGGAGGCTGAGGGAGTTTAGAAAATCATAAGGGGTATGGTTAGGATGAATAGCCAAGGGCTTTTCCACAGGATAGTAGGGAAGTCTAAACAAGAGGGCATAGGTTTAAGGTAAGAGGAAAAAGATTTAAAAAGGACCTTAGGGGTAACTTTTTCACGCAGAGGGTGGTGCATGAATGGAATGAGCCACCAGAGGAAGTGGTGGAGGTGGGTACAATTACAACATTTAAAAGGCATCTGGATAGTTATATGAATAGGAAAGGTTTAGAGGGATTATAGGCTAAATGCTGGCAAATGGAACTAGATCAGTTTAAGATATCTAGTTGGCATGGACGAATTGGACTGGAGGGTCTGTTTGCATGCTGTAGAACTCTGTGATTCTTCTGCTGTTGCCAGCTTGCAATTGTCAGGTATTTACTTTGGGTGGAAAATCATTGATTGGTGAATGCACAAAAGAGAGTGAATGAAGGCAGTATAAAGAACACAACAGAATTAAAGTTTGGTTTTCTCAGAAGTATTGACCATATAGAATTACAACCCTGCATCATGAAAAGAAAAACTTTAATGAAAGCGGGATATGGAACAGATAAATCAACATCTGGGAAAACGAGATGGTTTGGAATGTTACGCTGACTTGCACTCATATGATTAAATTTGTTAATTAATTATTAAGAATTATTTGTAATCTGTGTCATTCCTATTGCGGTCATCCAGAATTTGTTTGATTTTTGTAGCTGGCAGTGACACAGTGACCATCAGTACCACTCCAAAATTAATTGAGGTGAAGCTTCACTGCATGCAAACAGACTGGGTTTCCAGTCTTTCTGACCTTCTGTCATGGAGTTTGGTGCCGCTCCATTTAGCCCGAAGATGTAATTTGGGAAGCGTTGTAAGTTTTGATTGATGCAATCAAATGTCAGTTAGAGTGGAATTTGAACTCATCAGTATCTAGTTAGAAGTCCAATAACATAAAAGTATCAATCTGCTCCTGTACCCATTGAACTGCTTTTACAACTTGGAATATGTTGGTGCTGTGGTAACAGTACAGGTCTAGAAATTTGAGTGCAAACTCCAGCGTGGTAACCCCTAAAATATCAGGACTATGGTGGTACAGTGATTGCATTAATCAAGACCTCTGGATTAATATTTCAGTAATGATATGGTGAACCAATGATCAATTTCCACCAGAGCAGTTTGAGAATTTGGATTCATATTTTAAAAATCTAAAAGTATAAAAATCTTCTGATAAAAGTGTCCATTAGGTTTTTGGATTGTCATTGAAAATACACTGGATTCACTAATGCCCTGTAGGCAGGAAAAGCAATGGTTAAAGGCAATGACAATGTATACTAAAGTTCCATCTCAATGCATTTTGACATGACCCCACATGTCATGTTCAAGAAGAAAGCATCCCTAAGTATGGCTAGGCTGTGCCTTGCCAGTGACCCCAACACCCTGAGAAAGATGATAAACCTGGTAATTTTATGGATTAACACCAGGAGGAAACAACCATAAAGGAACCCTCCTTAACCAACCCAACCTGCAGGTGATCTTAAATCTTAATAGATTCTTAGCTGAAACAGCAGCTTGCATTTCTGTGGTTCTGTTACTATGGAAAAGCATTTCAATGTGCCTTGGTCTTGAGCATCTGAGACATTCCACAATGAATAGCAAATTAAGAAACCATTCGGAGGTGTAACCCAAAACTTAGTCAAGGAAAAAATGCAAAATACCACGAACACTAGAAATCTGAAACAAACATAGAAAATGCTGGAGAAACTCAGCAGGTTTGACAGCATCTGTGAAGAGAGAAACAAAGTTAACATTTTGAGTTTGATATGACGTCTTCAGATTGGAAGATTAGCTTAATATATCTTGGATAGCTTAATTTTGCAGGAACCAATGATTACAAAGGGTGGAGGATAGAAGGCATGCCATAAGATTATTTGAATGGTTGAATCTGGATGTGGCAGACATATTAATGAAGCTACGAAAACAAAATTGCTGGAAAAGCTCAGCAGGTCTGGCAGCATCTGTGAAGGAAAAAACAGAGTTAATGTTTCGGGTCTCGTGACTCTTCCTCAGTTCTTTGTTTTTGTTCCTGATTTACAGCATCCGCAGTTCTTTCGGTTTTTATATTAATGAAGCTCTCAGTAATGTCACAGATTTTGTGATGGAGACTATAATGGCACCAAAAGCTAAATTCAAGGTTGAACAGAATGCCAAGTTTGCAAAGAGTCTGAGCCTGAGAGAGTGATTGGGTGGGATGTGGAGACCATGGCTAAGACACAGATTGTGGTGACATCCCTGAGATAATCACTTTGATCATCCTATTAATGCTACCTGGAGGCTTTTGCAAGAGTGGATAGCAAATGATAAGCCTGACAACTTGGATTAGGTGAAGCTGGTGAAGAGATCAAGTTGGGATTCACCAATGTATACATGGGCATTCACCCACCATCTGTAGTTAATGCTACTGCAAAACTGCAAGTAAGAGGAGGGAGGCCAGTGATAGAACCCTGGGTGCTTCAGAATCAATCATGTGGGAGCAGAAAGAAACATTTCTGAAGGTGCTCAGATTAGGTTTGAATAAGTGAGACAGGAACCAGATGAGGGTAACTCTAACTAACTGCACAGTGAGAAACACTGCAGGACAGTGTAATTGACTGTTAATCTCCGATTGCGTCAATACAGCAGTTCTGTGGGAAAAATAATGAAACACTATTAAGACCATTTTAACTTATTTAATCTTTAGCTCTGTTGGTAATGTTGTCTGGTACCTTGGTTATTTATATCTCCACAAACCCCTGGGTGACCTTTTTTATTTACGCTACAGCAGGCATGCCTGTTGAGTAAGAATAAATTAGCATTGTAATTGATCATTTCTGTGCTTTATTAAAATGATTGGAGTGACCTGATGGAACAATACACTTCTATACGTGCATGTTGTTCTATGAAGTTAGGGTGCTCAGTGTAACATCTGTGCGGTCCTAACTGGGCCTACTTCAAGAAGTTACCAAGTAACAGAAGATCCTTCCAGTAACAAGTTCAAAAACCTTACAGAAAGCAAAGTCTAATTGAATTTAAGATAAAGGAGCCCATTTGATCTTATCTTTCAGGGATATTGTTCTTCATTTTCCTGTTAGAATAACGCATTTCTGAACCAAATCCATTCTTGTAGTTTGAGCTTCTTGTCCTGATAAAACACAACAGCTGATCACATCTCGCCTCCTGAGTTAAGAAATACTGTATGTAGGAAAGGGCATGAAAATTTGTTTCTATCACACCTGTAAACCAATTGTCTTCCGTGTCTTGTTGCCCTGCTAAATCTGGAATAATTGATTCTGGTTTACTTCCTCTATCCTGTAGTGGGCTCTGTGCATCTGAAGGGACCTCCTCTTTGAGTTAAAGCCAATCCAGTTTACCCCCACGGAGTCTGTTCCCTGGCACCAGGGATTAATCTCATAGTTCTGGCCAACACATTCTTGAGTGGTCTCCTCTGTGGCGCTGACCATGGTGGCCAGTGCTGCCTGTAATAGTCCATCTGGGACATTTGCCTGATTTCACATGATCTTCCAAGGATTTGAAACTAATTGGTTTGATCATGTAACCTACCAGTGCCAATTGCTGTCTCAATCATTCAAAATAATCAGCACCAATCATCAAGCACCAAGAAAGGTGCTGAACATGTTAGGAGGCAACTAATGCAGGACAACTAACCAAAATAAGATCATTACTAAAAGGATACTGGAATAACTAAAGTTGAAATATTAACATTGGCACAGTAAAAGCAAAGTATTAAGTATCATAAGACTGATACTAAGTAGGTGTAGATTTAATAGTTGGCAATGTTATTTTAAAATTATAGCATTCTTCAGAATGGATATTTGTCAACATTGTGCTCAGTTTCTGGGAGGAAAACACCAACAAAAATGGTCAGTTTTTCAGGACTGCGTTCTGCCTCTCAAAGACATCTGCAAAAATGTCAACTGCCATACTGGTCTCCGGGATAGTTATTTAAAATGAGCATTTGATATTTTTGCGTGTGCGAATGGGTAGCCCAAAGCTGCTTTAGGACTCGCTGAAGAGAGATTGAGCCCCTCTGGATGGAGCAGATGCTGGGTTTACCAAGCTCGAGTTGGCTTGATATGAATGTGACCTAAGAATAGGCAGCTTGTGAACTGGTGAAATAAAAATTCAGGTGGAGGAGGCTCCTCCTTTAAAGCTGCACACAACTCCTGACTCCCAGTGGAAAGATGCCCTGCCTCTATACTCCATCAGAAGAAGGGCATAGACAGAATGTTCACATTCTTTAGCCTTTTCTCAATAAACTGCAGAAGAAAATAATAGGCCTTGAGATGCTACAGCTTAAAATACTGAAATAAAACCACAAGCAAATGACTAACTCAAAAGCAAATTCATTGGTATGTGCTGATGATTCAAGACTGCTTAAATGTGTCACTGACTTTGTCATTATCTAAAACATTAAGTTGGGTTAGAGTGTTGGAGTGTTGTTGTAGTCTGTTAACTAGGGTATGTGCACTCACTCTGAATTGAGGGTACATTTGAAAGAAGTTGCTTTACCAAATTTACTGTAGACCATTTGTCTAATTTTCCCATATTGGATTGTAGCTAATATTGCATTGTTAACCCTTCTTAGCTTTTATTTATCTGCTTGTATTACATGGGCATCACTGCCTGACCAGCATTTATTGCCCATCCCCTAGTTGCCCTTGAGAGGGTGGTGCTAAGTTACCTTCTTGAACTGCTGCAGTCGACATATTGTAGGTCCTCCCACAATGTCCTTAGGGAGGGAAATCCAGGATTTTGTCCCAGGGACAATGAAGGAAAAGCAATATATTTCCAAGTCAGGATGGTAAGTGTATCCAAACTCACTCCTTATCATATTTGCTGTATCCTCTCCTGACCTTTTCTGACCCCAAATGAGCAGGCCCACCCATATGCTCTCACCTCAGTAAATTTCATGCTGTACGTACTGCTGAGTTGTTCAGCCTCTGGCCAGAAAGCGCCTCTGTGTACTATGGACCCTCTTTCTTCTGCCTACAGAAAATACCACTACGCCCCTCACTCTAGCCTCTAAATATCTGTTGATTTTTTTTATTTTGTTGAGAGCTATCAGTGTGACATCAGCCATGCTAATATCTCCACTCGTCTCATTCATTCTCTGACCTTGAAGAATTCTGTTCACTCAGGTCCTATCCTGACTTTAAACATGTTAGCAAGGAAGGTGCCGTTGCTGTATTGTTGGAGATTGAATATCTGACAACTCCTACACTTGCCATGGATTCTGACCCTGTTATTGAACATCAAACCAGTTTTCTCACCTAATTGCCTGCAGTTCATAGTGGTCGCATAGTGATGTAAGTGCATATAATCATGAGGGACATGGATAAGGTAAATAGACCAATCTTTCCCCAGGGTGGGGGAGTCCGAAACTAGAGGGCATGGGTTTAAGGTGAGAGGGGAAAGATTTAAAAGGGATCTAAGGGGCAACCTTTTCACACAGAGGGTGGTGCATATTTGGAATGAGCTCCCAGAGGAAGCAGTGGAGGCTGGTATGATTACAGCATTTAAAAGGCATCTGGATGGGTATATGAGTAGGAAGGGTTTAGAGGAATGTAGGCCAAATGCTGGCAAATAGGACTAGATTTATTTAGAAAATCTGGCCAGCATGGACAAATTTGACCGAAGGGTCTGTTTCCATGCTGTATGTCTCTATAACTCTCTTTTTTTTATTTTCTGTCTTCATATCTTGTACTGAATCCAGTTACAGACTGCTTCTTGTCTAGCTTTGGATCTGCTTATAAGCTTTGCATCTACTACATCTTTTACAATTTGATGTAACGGCATTGACTTGAAACATTAACCCTGTTTTCGTCACACCCACGGATACTGCAGCGGAATTGTCGCTTGTTTCCAGAATATTCTGTTTGTGTAGAATTTATAGTTTTAAAACTAAAGATTTTAAAACTTTTATAAGGATATATAATGCCATTGTTTGAACAAACAGTGGCTAAGAGACCCTGTTTATTATTTTATTGTAATAATACATTATCATATGTCATTAAATGTGATGGAAAGCTACTGATGAAAATATTCCAGAAAACTGTTTGTAGATTTTGATTAAGATCTGCAATAGAGAGAAACTTTTTAGTTCATTGTGGAAACTCTTGCATAGGTTGATCCTTTGCATCATGCCTTTGAAATTGTTGTAAGTTTTTAAAAACTGAAATTGTTTCTTTGACTTCCATAGGTGTCCGTTACAAAGATTTGGTGGTTGGGATTCCTAAAGAAATCTATAAGAATGAGAAGAGAGTGGCCGTGTCTCCTGCAGGTGTTGAAGCTCTTGTTAAGCAGGGATTTACTGTGAAAGTGGAGTCCACGGCCGGTGAAGGTGCCAAGTTCTCTGACGATCAATATCGAGAGGCTGGAGCCACTATTAATGAGACAAAAGATGTTTTTGGATCGGACATTGTTTTAAAGGTATGCATTTTACTTAGGAATGAATGACAAGGTATTTTCTGGAAGCAAGTAAATGTAAAGTCACCATAATCCTACCAGACCACAGTGCTGCTCTGTCATTAGAGAAGAATGACTGGTGGTGGTTTAACCTCCTCACAGTCACCACACCTGAGGCAAGGGGATATACATAGGGAAGGAGTATCCTTCATGGTAACAGCCGTTGTGGGAATTGAACCCATGCTGTTTGCACCACTCTGCATTGCAAACCAGCCTTCCAGCCAACTGAGTTAATATCACATCTGAGCTCTGAGATAATTATGCATACAGTAAGACATAGAAGGCGACGTCACACAAATCATCTGATGGAAATAGCCCCACCACCAGCTGAGTGTAATGTGGTAATGGTGCTATTTGTGGAATCCACTACTGTTATGATGTTCAAGCTAGCAGTGCCTGAAAACTGAATAAATTCAACAAAAGGAAGCCCACAAGAGTGTCAGAGGAACAGAGTTTGGAGTGAAGGTTCTGAAGGGCATCAAAAATTCTAGAGAGGTATGGAAGGATAAGATTGTGAAACAAATTTAAAATGGATGAGGATTTTGCCTTTGAGGCACTTGAGACATTGTGATTCAAAGCAGATGTAGATGACTTGCGAACAGAGTTCAAAGATCTCATTTTGGTTAATTCTTGAGAATAAAAGTAACAAATGAAGATACTAAGATAACCAGGTGTAGAGCTGGATGAACACAGCAGGCCAAGCAGCATCAGAGGAGCAGGAAGGCTGACGTTTCGGGCCTAGACCCTTCTTCAGAAATGAAGATACTACGTTGCTGTTAGCAGAATATGCCTCGATGTAATAATAATTGAATGTATATTGAGTCACACAGGCATTTGTCACTGCAGAAAAGACTTTGTACTGTTTTGAATAATTGTTGAACCATTAAATTTAATTAGCTTTGTATGGAAGTCAAGACCAATATCCAGAGTAGTTTGTATGGAAATCTGATTATTGTAATCAACTTGGTAAAGCATGGGGATCAGTCAAACTTAATCAACCTAAAGCAAACTGTTAAAATGTTTATAGCTCTAAAATGTCTGAACAAGACAAAATTATCAATAAGAGGAAAATTGAACAAGAAAATATTTTTGAGTTTTCTTAAATTTTTTTAAATTCATCATTTAGGCACTTCATAGGAAAAAACTCACTCCTCTTAAAGCTGACTTGACAACTTTTTTGTCTGAACCCAAGGTTGCTCTGCTTCTTCTTGGGAAATCTACCTTCCTAATTTGTAATGCTTTCTCAGGAACATGTAGCTTTATAGTTCAGGCGCCACATGAACTTAACTGCCTATTCCTGCCACTGCCACTATCTTTCTGGCGCTTCTCGTAATTGGTTTGGAAGGTCATGCAACAGCAAAGGAGACACTAAGTTTTAAAAAGGTCAGAAGAAATTTCTGCTGTAAAATGAGGTGTGGTGGGTGCATTCGTTCCCCATTAGAATTCTTAGTTGCATGTTACCTTTTTAATTGAATACTTTGGAAAATAACTTTAAAATAAAGTTCTTATTTGACCAGACTGCTGATCCCAGACCCAACTCAATGCTGATATTTTGGCACTGAGGGAGTGATGTATTATGGGAGTTGCTGTTACTTGGGTAAGTTTAAGCTGAGACCCTGTCCGCCTCTCAGCTGGACATACTCCTGTGGCATTAGATAGAAGAGTAAGAGACCACTCCTGACGTTCTGGCCAGAATTCACCCCTCAGATAACTTTGTCAAAAGTGGATGATCTAGTTGTTGTCCCTTTGCTGTTTGTGGGATTAGCTGCCATGGTTCCTCCATTTAAGACTGTGACTGACTACATTTCAAAAATATTTGATTGACTGCAGACTGCTTTGGGACATCTGATATCTCAAAAGGTGAAATCTAAATGAAAATTTTCTGGATTACAAGCTATGTTATAGTACTATTGGAATGGAACTCCAGTATATCCAAATCCCAGTTTGTAACAAAATTTCTCTATGGTTGCTGTTTGGTCTCCTCCCTTGAAATTTGCTCGATAGCTAAGACACTCCCTTGTGAAATCCCGTAGATATTCCTTTACGTTAAATGGTATCTATACAAAGATTGCCTCTAAAAGTTTTCAAACTTGTCCTCCGAATTAAAATGTGGTGTTGTTGTTCCTAATAGTGTTTCCATGTGATGAAATAGTTCTTACTTCAGCAGTGTTCATAAGAGCTACTTACCTCTGTTTAAAACTTTTCTTGCAGGTCAGGGCTCCAAGCTTCAATAATACGTTGGGAGCACATGAAGCAGACCTACTAAAGGAGAGAGCTACTCTTATCAGTTTCATCTATCCAGCCCAAAATGCTGACCTCATGAGTAAACTTGCTGAGCGCAAAGCCTCAGTCCTAGCGATGGACCAGGTCCCTCGAGTTACTATAGCTCAGGGATATGATGCTCTTAGTTCCATGGCTAACATAGCAGGGTATAACAAAAATTTATTTAAAAAATTGACATGATTGGAATGCATTATTTGAAATGATTACATTTGTTTGTTAGCTAGATTTTGACTGACTAGGGTCAGTGGGTATAAGTGGTAAAGTTGACGCCATAGTCAGAACAGCCATGATCCTGTTGAATGGCAGAGCAGGATCAAGGGGCCAAATAGCCTAATCCTGCTCTTTTTTTTTAATGTCCTACTGTAATCCCATTAACTCGAGTGTCCTAGTGCTTGGTCTCCCACAGATTCCAAGCTACATGAGTGAACTGAATTCAGAAGCACCAGGCTGATTGGAACAAAAGGGCAAGGAAGCACTTGCATCTGTTGAGGCAGCCTGAGAGCTACAGAAGGACCTAGAGGAAACTTGCCGTTGACAGAATTATAACGGAGGAAATTCAATGAAGCAAGGTGGACAATGTAGACTCCACTAGTTAATTGGAAAATATGTCATAGCATGGAAACATACCCTTGGGTCCAACTTGCCCGTGCCGACCAGATATCCTGAATTAATCTAGTCCCATTTGCAACATTTGGCTCACTATTCCTCTTAAACCCTTCCTATTTGTATATCTATCCAGATGCCTTTTAAATGTTGTAATTGTACCAGCCGCTACCACATCCTCTGACAGTGCGCAGCAAATGGTGATGACTTAAGGGAAGGCTGACAAGATGTGGAGTGGTAACACTTGGCTCAGAACTTTACCATGTCGTCAGTGTTTCACAAATGCAAGGAATAAAGTAGATAGAATACTGAGCTCCATGTGGGTGGATGCAAAAGATCCTAGTTTGAAGCAGACATTGGATTACACCAATGTCCTGTGCAAAATATTTCTCTCAATCAAACTCTCAAAAACGGATAATCTGGTCACTATCTCTTTGTTTGTGGGAGTTTGTTGTGAGTAAAATTAGCTATTCTTTCTTAAATTACAACCATGGCTACACTTCAAAAAGCACTTCTTTGCCTGTGGAGGATGATCAGTGAGATTTTCCGCCTTTTTATTTTCTGTCCTTGCTAGTACAAAGGTAAAGTCAACATACCTCTCTGGATCCAGAGAGAGAGAGATATGACTGGTGATGGATTTAACCTGAGGATGAACAGGTGAGGGGTTGAGAAGGAGAATCATTCATGATACCTCTGTCCATGCCATGGTTTACATAAAGACTCTCCCAGGTTTCACTCTCATTACGGCGAGCAACAGGGTTATTCCCTATGAACGGAAATGATCTGTTTGTCTGTCTAATGTTGCATTGACTATTACAACTTTTGTTTTTGAAGAAGTGCATATTTTTGGGTCACAAGTTGTCATTTTAAGTATAAGGTGTGATGATGATAACCAGTGTTAGCTGAGCCTTTGATTGCCTTGGCTTTGATCTTTTGAATTCTTTCACTAAATCCTTTCACCTCTGCTTCCTACTTTTTTCTCTCTCTCTCTCGCTCTCTCTCTCTCTCTCTCTCGCTCTCTCGCTCTCTCGCTCTCTCGCTCTCTCGCTCTCTCGCTCTCTCGCTCTCTC